CACTCTGGGGAGCAGTAGCAGGGGTTGTATGAACTAGTCGACTTCACCGCTCTATAGTGACGTTTTATGCCTGTCATCGACTAGTCGCTGTCACATGATAATGACCGGCAAGATGCAGTCCTCGGAAAAGACAGCAGCCTGCTGTCAGCAGGTGACAAGCTCCTGCACGTCGGGAGGCAACGCGCTGTGCCAGAGCGTCGGTACTGACACCCGCCGTAAAACGGACATTTAACCTAATTGTGACATTTACCCTCTTGCTATTTAACCTTCCCCTCACCCCCATCCTAACTTTAACAGCTTGCGTATGCAAAGCTCTGATCGTTGACGCGCTCCAGACATCTGCGTCTTGAGCACGGCCACAGTAACATCAAATTAGGTGTTGCCACCTCAAAAACTAATTTAACACGCGATCGTTCATGTCGGCTCATTTCCTTTTATGTTTTCTGTCTTTTATTCTTTTATTTGTGCCTGATGCTTTTCACTGCTGTGGAACAGGGCGCATCACCTTGTCCTCCGGTGACGGACCTCACCGGAGCTGCCGGCGAGCAGCGCGCACCCCGCTGTTTTTGCGGTCGGTAGATCTTTTAGAACTGCAGTTCAAAGGTAACTCATGAGGTGAATATGTATGAACCCAGGTAGCAGTTTTTCTTTAGGACTGAGAGGAGATGCAGGAAGATAATAAACAGGCAGTACAGAAAAATAGTCAAATAAAAACAAGTTAGTTTTTGTACCTGGTGGTTGCAACAAACAGACACCATTGAAGGTAATCAGAAGTGAGGAACAGAAAATGAAATAATTATTTTAATGTTTAGAACAGCAGGAACTCTGAGAGGCTGCAGGCGCATCAGTGAGTTTGCGGCCGCTGCGCAGGGGGAGGGGGGAGAGGGCTGAAGCAGAAACTACTGTTGTTAAAAGAAATGTGTTTAACTTTGAAAATGTGGGCGCAATTTTATTTGTCAAAAACTCCAGTGAACCATTAGTTCATTTTGCTCAAATAGAAATTGAGGCCTGCCTCTAATTCTGGCCTTCCTTCCAATAAAGACCTGGAGCTTGATGAGCTTGAGTAAAATACAGGCCTGTATTAGAGGATTTACGGTATGTTGTTAATACGAGTTGCAGTATTTATAGCTATCCTGTTAGGGTGTGTAATTGTTACACGGAATCTTTAACAAAACACATAATTAATAAATTATTTGTGTATGATTGTGTGCATTTAGAATATCTATATTAAAGTCTCCACAAACACTAACTTATGATTATTTGTATTTAATTCTACGGTACATTTCTTTAAATCTGTTCAGAAAAATAATTCATTATTAATAATTAATTATGAAATATTTTGTTTACAAATGAAATTCTTACCTTCTTAACTAAATATTTAACTTTAAGTTAATATTTATCATCCAAACTCAGTATTTAACTTTTTAACTAAATACTTTGATTACAAACTAAATATTTACCTTCTTAACTATATATTTAGCATCCAAACAAAATATTTAACTATTTAACTAAATATTTTGTTTACAAACCAAATATGTATCTTCTTACCAAAATATTTCACTTTTTAACTAAATATTTCACTTGCAAACTAAGTATACATGTTTTTATAAATGTTAAATGTTTTACCAAATAGTTTGAAGTTGAAACATTTCTTAATGAATAAACAATGACTTTGAAATATTAACCCCCTTTTAATTTCTCATATGACAGGCTAAATAACCAACATTATTGTTAATTTTAACTGTGTAACTTTACAAACAGCATCTCATGGAGGACAATATAAATAGAACTTTGAAGTTCTATTCATGTCCAATTTATAGTCAAATCAAATTAGTGTTTATTTGAATAGTCGTAAATCACATCATTGGGAGAAGATTTTCACAATTATTTCATTTTAAGTAGTACTGCTAAAATGCAGAGACATATTTAATTCATATGTTACTAGTCTATTAATAGTTTTTTCAATACTTTCTGCATAACCGGCCCTTTAAGAGCATTCATGATCTTTATGTGGCCAAAAATGAAAATGAATTTGACATCCCTGATTTAAGATCTACACATTTAAAATGAAAATAAGAAATAAAAGTATTCTGCCTTATACCTGCCCCCAGGCAAAACTTTTAGAGCCTACCCTGCACAGTCACCAGCCTTCTATCAGCTACGTAAAAAAGAATCCTGGTGACATTTGTTCATAACTTTTCTTCAAGTCATTCATGTAATCTAAAATGTAAACAGTTTCTCCAGTAACTGTTCAGCTGCTCGGGTGATTGAGTCTGGACATCTTCTATTTCTTCTCGATGTTTCTCTCTCATCAGATGCAAACTGACATCATAGCCAGCACTGTGTGTGTGTGTGTGTGTGTGTGTGTGTGTGTGTGTGTGTGTGTGTGTGTGTGTGTGTGTGTGTGTGTGTGTGTGTGTGTGTGTGTGTGTGTGTGTGTGTGTGTGAGCAGAACAGTGGGTGGGATGTGGATTTGGGAAGTTTTCTGTTCCTGACTACAGGATGGTTTATGTGTCCGTGGGTGGGGTGGCACCACCCTTTATTCATGTTCAAACCCGTTCTTCAATGGACCTGGGAGGCTTTTTAAGTGATTTCACTGAAAGAGAGAACAGTCATGTCCCTGAGTAGTGGATCACGTTCAGTTTAATAAATACTGCCACAGATTCCAATCCTAGCTTCTGTTTGAGTCGTTTTTTGTCCCTCAGTAAATCTCCTTCTGGATGCACGTTGCACTTTTGAGAACTAGAGTAAATGTTTTGCTACAGTCATGGGTTAAAGGAGTGAAATGCAAAAGTTTTCCAAGAGGTGTGGTGGCGTCAGCAGGTGTAGGCCAGACGACGCCTGACTCTCTCAGGTCTCCAGTGGGGTTGGTCGCCCATGGGTCCCAGGCCGCTGTGTTCCGAGCTCAGCCAGCTCTTGGGTGGGCGTCTGCGGGCGGGCCTGGGGGTTTGCTGTTATCTCCCATGGTTTTGGCGGCTGCTGGTTATGAACCTCGGGGTAATCCTCTGCGCCTCTCAGGAAGGGGGTTGACGCTTCTCCGGCAGCTGTCTCCTTGGGGTTCTTGCACTTCGGCGAGACCCCTTAGATCTCTAGGGCTTGGAACTCCTCCATCTTCCACACGTCTTTGGGGGCAGATCTGTGGCCCCTCACACTCACTATTGAACACTCCTATAGAGAAACATTACATTTACAAGCATGTGTACGCACACAGGTGCTCTCATGGTGCTTTCACAAGGATGGACTTGGGCATTTTCAACACTTCCACTGTGTGGTGGCTGTGGTTGGCACTAAATGCACTATGCTGTAAAGTGTCCTTGTGTCCCTTGAAAGGTGCTTTTAAATAAAATGCATTATTATTATTATGAATAATCACCATGTGTTTCTCAACAAAAAGTGTTACTTTTATATATATCCTCATGTTGTTGGTGCAGTAATATTTTGGTTGTTGTATTTTTATGTGCCCCCCCTCTCTCTCTCTCCCTCTCTCTCTCTCCCTCTCTCTCTCTCTCTCTTTCTCTCTCTCTCTCTCTCTCTCTCTCTCTCTCTCTCTCTCTCTCTCTCTCTCTCTCTCTCTCTCTCTCTCTCTCTCTCTCTCTCTCTCTCTCTGCCGGTCTAGAAGCAGATTATTTTTATCATTTATGTTTAATTTTCTGAACCCCTCCCCCACCTCTTCCTTCTCTCTCCCCCTTTCTCTCACTCTTCTGTCTCCATGTGTGTTGGTATTTTAAACAACCAAAAATATTTCTAATAAAGGTTTGGTATCAGGTGTGGCATTATAGCAGACGTTCTAATGCTCCACCTGTGAGAATAAAACTTCAAGGCTTGTCTTCGGCATTCAGACATCAATTCTGAGAGCTTCACAGCCAGACAGGACAAGGTAAAAAAAATTAATTTTGAAGTTGATGACCAACTGTTAAAGGGGAACTAGGCACTTTGTGCTTGCTTTTAGCACCCCTAGTGTACGTTTGTAGAACTGAAAGCAAAACCAACAATCTTCTTGCGCATTAGTCTTTTTAACACCTTAATCTAACAGCTGAAATGTCTCACAACCTTTATACTTCTACAGGAGTGGTTCATCACTAAACTAAACAAATCAGATGTGTTCATGATCTAAAACATGCAGGAAATGGGCTGGAACCAGACTGCAGCGCCAGGTATGCCAGCTCTAGTGATGTGACGTTCACGAATGAATCAAATCTTTTGAATGGGTTTTCAAAGTGAATGATGAGAGCCGAGTCTCTGAAGAGAGCCATTCATCTTGTCTTCAGGTAACAAACCTCCCTCTGATCACGGGGGTGATAAGGGCTGGGTGGCCTTTCATTTACTCTGTGTAAAGGGTCGTTTTAGCACATACTGGCTCAAGAAAACGATTTAAATATATGAAGAAGTTGTAAAGTATTCCTTTAACTTTGTCAAAGAGACATCATCTGGGGTAAATGTGCTTCTGGAGCAAGGCAGGGCAAGGCTGAGACTCGTCAAAGGGAGAGACTGACCGTCATCCTCTCCACTGCCAGCTTCCTGTTTCAAATTATGAAAAACAGAATGTGTGTGTGTGTGTGTGTGTGTGTGTGTGTGTGTGTGTGTGTGTGTGTGTGTGTGTGTGTGTGTGTGTGTGTGTGTGTGTGTGTGTGTGTGTGTGTGTGTGTGTGTGTGTGTGATGAACTATCCAAACAGGAAGTGTTCTACGGTTGCTCCGTTTGTTACTTTTTTTCAGAAAAATATTTGTAGGTGAAAGTCATTTAGACCCTAAATGTGAATTTAATCAAAATCAAAACCATTGTTGTTTATTATTGTTGAAACAAAATAAAACCAGGAACAAGAAGAAGATGTTTATCGTACATTTCCCTTAAATTACTCCTCATGGGTTTTTAAACTCTGTGAACTACCGGTTCAGATGACAACGGTGCCATCTTCTGGTTATGCAAGTGTAATGCAGCTTGGTTTACCACTGTCAAACACAAGCTGTATTTTTAGAAGACATTAAATAGAAGGACAATAGATAAAGAGAGTGATGTTTTTATTTAATCTCCAAAATCATGAAGAAATTTCACTCTTCAGCCACAGCTTCAGCCTCCACCTTCTCTGGCTCCTTCTTCTCAGCAGCAGGTGCCTCCTCTGGTGTGACCTGCTGCTCCTCCTTCTTCTCCTCAGCCTTGTGTGCCACTACTTCGCTTTTGGTGATCTTTATTGCTCCTCCTTCCAGTGCAGAGGCAAGAGCCCTGTTGGAGGATGAGGTGATGTAGGAGGGGATGCGGGAACTCTCCAGGCTAAAGGCGTTGTAGTTCAAAGCTGTGGATTCACAGGAGGAGTTTCATGAGGATAACACAAGACAATAGTCAAAGGTTTCGTGGCTTATTTTCACACAGCAGGGACTCACAGGTCTGCTTGGTGACACTGGTCTTGATTCCTGCCGCTAACCTGCACAGAAAGCAGAAAACAAAAAAAAAACGTTCAAACACTTTGTTCTATTACAACATGAAAGTCACATAATGCTATAAGTTCACCTGGTCTCCTCCCCCTCAAGCAGTTTTTTATAAGTAGCTATTTCAATGTCCAGAGCCAGCTTCACATTCATCAGTTCTTGGTACTGGCGGACTTGCAGGGCCATATCCTGTTTAGCCCTCTGAAGGGCCTCTTCCAGGTCTCTGACGCGGAGCTTAGCATCCTTCACAGCCAGCTCACCCCGTTCCTCAGCCTCTGCAATCTGGGCCTCCAAGCTGTTTCGCTAAAAGGGGAAATGTAGCAGCAAAATCAGGTGCAGGTTAAAAGGTAATTATTATTATTATTATTTTATTTATTTAGGAAGTGGGTCAATACATATTAATGAACATTTCAATAAATGTAAATATGCCAGATTATAGCCTTGGGCTAATTTCCATCTGCAGACCCTCCGGCAGGTTGATGTTAGACACAAGTAAAAACAGAAAACACGGTCTGGTTAAATTATAGAATTATAATTAGGAATTAATGAAGTTAAAGGAAATTGAATCCTTACCTGAGCTTTAACCATATCTATTTCAGATTGGAGCCTCATTATCCTGCGGTTCATGTCAGCAATCTCAGCTCTGGTTGACCTTAGGTCGTCATCAAACTTCCCAGCTGACTGCTGCATCTCTGCATACTGGAACAAAAAGACTAAATATTAACCTGTAGTCATAAATCAACTATGACCTATTCTGACATGTGTACATACTTTAGAGTTTTATTGTCTCCACCTCTTCATTTTTAGGTGTTTTGGTTAGTATTTTTGAACTTTACTCAGTGATGTAGAATATTCTCTGAGTTTGTCCATTAAAAATCATTTAAGTAAAGAAAGTTTAGTCTAGAGTGTAACTGGGCGATAAAGGAAATGAGTGGAGAAATTTGCTACACAAATATGGGAAACAAAACTGAAGAAAAAGAAAGTTTAAAAGTAACAAAAGAGCACAAGACAGTTTATTTGTTTAAAATGAACTGATGCATTTCAAAACCTCCACAAATCCTGAGCTCAAAGGAGAAATTTTATGCAAAACTCACCTTTTGCTAAATTTTGTGCTGCCATGTGGGTCTCTACTGCCCCTATAATCACTCCAAATGGAAAAAATGTATCCATCTGCTTTCAGTCAGTAATTGCTTTAGGGAATTATGTGCCTAAAACAAGTTGTTTCAAAAAGTCCTCATTTGTGATGTCACAAATGGGGAAATTGATATAGAACCACCTCTCGCATGCAAGTGAGAGCTGATGATGAAGGAGCAACAACTCTACTCTGAGCCCCTTCCAGATTTCAGAGCTTCTCAGCCTATAGCAGCCTGAGAAGGCAATGGGTGTGGCCAGCTCTAGCCTGTTTTCCTAAAGTGAAAGAGCCCTGAAAAAGCTCATTTTGGAAGGTGCTGGAAGGTTCAAGCTGTAAAAGTTTGCTTTAAAACATTGTTTGCCACTGACCTTGTTCTGGTACCACGATTCAGCCTCTGCTCTGCTCCTGCTAGCGATCTCTTCATACTGGGCTCTCACTTCGGCAATGATAGCATCCATGTCAAGGTCACGGCTGTTGTCCATCTCCACCACCACAGATACGTCCCTGATCTGACTCTGCAGCTCATTAATTTCCTAAAAAAGTTGAATAAAATACTCCATATTGGGGAAAAATACACAACAATGAACTTTTCATGAGAGTTGAAAACATAAGTTACTTACTGCATCGTAGATCTGCCTCAAGAAGTCAATCTCATCAGAGAGCCCATCCAGTTTGGCCTCAAGCTCCACTTTGACCATGTAGGTTGCGTCTGAGTCCTTCAGTGAAGGGACCAGAGAATATTGTTGAATTTAGCACCCACATGCTAAAATCACTACTGTTCGAGGAATTATAATATAATAAATTTCCACAAACCTTCTTCATGAGGACAAAGTTGTTCTCACACTCATTGCGCTTGTTAATCTCTTCTTCATACCTGGAAAAAAATTAACCTAGTGGAATTTTGGCCTTACATTTCCATATTTTCCTCGCTTCTTTTTACAACTTTGGGTACAAAGGTGAAGATTTATTAAAAGCAAGTTGGGAAAAAGTCAAATTTCATAAAATGTCTCAGGAGCAAAAAGGAGCTCACTTGTTTTTGAAGTCCTCCACTAGGCCCGTTGTGTGTTGCAGCTCTGACTCCAGTTTGACTCTTTGGTGACCCAAGTTGTCCAGTTGCTTGCGAAGACTGGCGATGTAGGCCTCAAACATGGAGTCGATATTGGAGCGAGTCGTGGTCTGCTCCTGCACGAGCTTCCACTTGGTCTCCAGCATTTTGTTTTGTTGTTTTGTTTTGTTGTTCAAGGAAACGCACCTGAAGGCAAACCGGTCCATGAGTGTGGCGAGACAGTGAGCGAAGACTAAATGAATTACCAGTACACACGTTTGCTGATGGAGTCTCAGAGAAGACAAAAAAAGTGACGAATATAACAACTTCTTCTTAGAGAGATCTAAAAATGCCACATTGTTCCCTTTTCCTAATCCTCCTGTCCAACACAAAGAGGCACTGTGCCTCAAGTGCCTCTTTACAACCTTTCTCTACAGCATCCCGACTCTGGGTGGGGTCCCACTACCACTCATCAAACACAAGGACATTCAATTGTGTGTGTGTGTGTGTGTGGGGGGGGGGGGGGGGGGGGGGGGGGTAAACTGTTTTACAATCTGAAGGATTACGGGAGAGTTTATTTACAATTCCTACTTCATTTCTCATGAAATGTGCAAACCTGCTGCACCGTTTTATGTGCTATGCTGGTACGTCATGGTTAATGTTTTAACGAGGGAGTTAAAACAATCGTCTATTCTTCCTTCAGCTCAGTGGCTTTTGGTTTGCATGGGCAAAAAACTTGTATCATGCATCTTTTTAACAATCCCACTCATTTTAGCTACAGACTCAAAATCTCAGAACACATAAAGATACCTCAATCTTATTCTACTGGATGTGAAATAGATCCATCCTTTGGCTCTTCACTAAAGTCCAGGATTAAAAGTGATTCTCCTATCTGAGCTCCATGATATCTCATTGTTGTATTAGTCCCAAGGATGATCTGCATGATGAAACCATGCTCTAGTCATGTCCTGTAGCATATTAGTTTCATATTAGTGTGTTTGAGCTGCAATAATGTCAACAGATGCTTTAAGTGTTTTTACTGTTTCTGTCTCTGCCGTTTATAAATCTTGAATGTGTGTCTCTTCAGGACTGACCTTGTCAATGAAGGAAGCAAAGCGGTTGTTGAGGGTCTTGATCTGTTCCTTCTCCTGGATGCGGACCGCCTGGATGGTGGGGTCGATCTCCAGGTTCAAGGGAGCCAGCAGGCTCTTGTTCACAGTCACGGCCGTAATGGGGGCCACCACTTCGTTAGCCATGCCTCCACCAAATCCCACAATGCCGAGCTCCATTCCACCTCCTCTGTGTCCCGATCCCCCAAACCCACCGACCTTGTAGCTGCCAATGCCCACAGCAGCCCCGCTGCTGCCCACGCCTCCGTAGGAGCTGCGGACAGCATAGCTCTGCCTGGTACTCCCCAGGCCATGTCCCCCGTAGCCTGAGAAGGAGCGGCTGCTGTAACCTTGGGCGGGGCCCCTGGAGGTTGACACGGTGGACAGGGTGGTGGTCTTCAGGGCTCTTACAGACATGGTCACACGTGGAGTCTGTGGGTGGTGTGAGAGGAGAAGAGACTCTGCTGAGGAGAGAGTCGGGCAGATGGAGCCTCCCTGGTCCTCGGTGGTATTTATCAGAGCAGGGGAGGAACCCTGCAGAGGTGGGACTGGCTGGTGTCCTCGGTGGGGGAGTGAAGGATGAGGGGCAATGAGGCTATCTCAGGGAAGAAGATGACATCATGTTACACATTTACAGCAGAACAAGAGCACAAGAATAACACTGGTAGTCTATAAAATGACTGTAGAAATAAGTGTGTCCACTTTCAGACCAACGTTAAGCTACACAAGGGTGATAACCACGCTCTCAACACGTCAGATCACATACTGTAAAGTCAAAAAGTTCAGCTTTGGATTCGATAAACAAGCTTCTCATTTTACTGCCTTCTCCTCTACTTTGCAAGAGTTCTCGTGGGCATGACAAGTGAGGAGGTAAATTATGGTTTTCCCAGTGTGAGGTCCTTCACATGCTGGTGGGCAGTGGCCCAGTGTCTCACAGCTGTGAGGAAAAAAATTGTTTTATTTTATTGTAACAAGAGGAAACAAACACAATAAAATCCCAGCTTGTTTACTGTTTTGGAGGCATGGACGTAATTTTGGGGGGGGGGACAGGGGGGACATGTCCCCCCACTTTTTCCAAAGTCAAGTTTTCACCCCTGCACTTTTTACCATCCAAAAACAAAATTACGCTATATTAAATTGACACTTGTTGAGCTCTAGGACCAAGCAGAATACAACCGTTTGTGTTGAAGCCTGTTTCCCATTAGAGCAGGGGTGTCAAATATGCGGCCCGCGGGCCGGATGCGGCCCGCAAGCGGGTTAAATCCGGCCCGCAAGATGGTTGTGAAAACTTTATTTTCATACTTTACAATGTAGAGTGAAAATAAACTTATCATTGTGAGCAAGTTTTCTCTGTAACGAGTATAAATAAAACAAAGCTGCGCTCAAGGCTCACACAAGAACTTGAATCCCATCCTGAAGTTGGCCGCCACTCAGGATGTGACTTCTGATATTGATGTGCTGGTGAAAGCTAAAAGATGTTAAGTAAAATGAGTCAAATATGCTTTAAGTGCTGCATGAAACTGATCTTGCCATGTGATATGTAAGCTCTTTGAATCACTAAGGAATGTTTTTTTTATTTATTGATTTTTTTATTGTTTTCAAATTTTCAAGTACACTTCAGGTGTTGTACTTGTACTACACTGTCCTCAGGCTCCAGCCTTGTTTCATATTGATTGTATTAAAACAAAGAAAACAATCTGAAGTTTGTTTTTTTTAAGTTACCGGTCCGGCCCACTTGGGACTAGATTTCCCTCAATGTGGCCCCTGAGCTAAAATGAGTTTGACACCCCTGCAGTAGAGCATACTGTGAAAATAGATAGATAGATAGATAGATAGATAGATAGATAGATAGATAGATAGATAGATAGACAGACAGACAGACAGACAGACAGACAGACAGACAGACAGACAGACAGACAGACAGACAGACAGACAGACAGACAGATAGATAGATAGATAGATAGATAGATAGATAGATAGATAGATAGATAGATAGATAGATAGATAGATAGATAGATAGATAGATAGATAGATAGATAGATAGATAGATAGATAGATAGATAGATGATAGATAGATAGATAGATAGATAGATAGATAGATAGATAGATAGATAGATAGATAGATAGATAGATAGATAGATAGATAGATAGATAGATAGATAGATAGATAGATAGATAGATAGATAGATAGATAGATGGACGGACGGACGGACGGACGGACGGACGGACGGACGGACGGACGGACGGACGGACGGACGGACGGACGGACGGACGGACGGACGGACGGACGGACGGACGGACGGACAGACAGACAGACAGACAGACAGACAGACAGACAGACAGATAGATAGATAGATAGATAGATAGATAGATAGATAGATAGATAGATAGATAGATAGATAGATAGATAGATAGATAGATAGATAGATAGATAGATAGATGATAGATAGATAGATGTTTATTCACATCTCCATGGTTCATAAACACTTTTTAAGCCCTCAGTAGTTTTTCTCTCATGTGAGACATGAATCTTGTCAAGAGTTTCATGTTGAAATGATATTTTCAGTCTTAATCAGTTCCTTCTGCTAAGTCAAACCAGATTTATACTCTACTCTTCTGGTGAGCCCTTTTTCACATGAACACCTTCTGTTGTTTTGTATACAGTAAATTTATTTACCTTACAAGAAAATCAGCCCAATCAAAGATACAAGAAGTGTAACAGCAGATGAGGCATCGTCCATCCATTTTCTGCATAAGGATGCAGGGGACACCCTGATAGGTCGCAAGTCCATCACAGGACCACACAGAGACAAATGACCAGTCAAACACTCGTTTATGCTTTTAGGAACAAGGAGAGCACCTGCCTGCAGATAAACGGAGGTGACACCACCAACATCGGCTGCTTTGACAAAGGCGGCAGTAGAAGTCCAAACATGTCAGCAAAAGTAAAAACGAGTGTGCAAGACAAAAAATAACAAAGACAAAAAAAAAATTACATCGTGCATGCACGGCCAGAACATGTAAACCCTGCACATAGACGTCATGCAGGCAGAATTCAAAATAGCAACTTTATTGCTGCAACTGTGCCACCATAGCCAGATGGGTACATCTGTAAACAAATGCATGCCAACCTGTTAGGAGTTCTCAAGTTGATGCAATAAAAACATATATCATGTTTTACTTGGTTGATGTCACACTGCGACATGATTCATCACCTGGAAGCTCTCGTGCTGAATGCAAAGGCAACCATACATGTAGCTTAAAGCAACAGACAAATTCCCAAGTTTGATTCTCCGAAGAGGCCAAGGATGCGGGTTTGGGTGAAGCTGCTAACTGACACGTCGAGGCAGGAATGTGCTGAGGGAGACACGTATGTGCGACATGTCAGAGAGAGTGGACGTGAGACGGGAAGCAGGTGGGGGTTCACAAAGACAATTAGCAAAGATTAGAGACACATCTGTTGCAAAACCGCTGAGTGACTCACAGTGCTGTTCAGTAGAAGCTGGGTGGGGTGGGAAGCATCAACCAGCACACCACTGTCAACCAATAAAACTGCGTTTCACGTGGTGCCTTGGAATTGTGAATCTCTGCAGAGTTTAATTAACAAGGATGGACTAATATTAAACTGAATTATGTGTGGTTTTATGAATAATATGAACGATACATGAAAATAAACACAAATATAACAACTCAACAAGTCCTAGGAAAAGGTTTCAAGTCAGAAAAACTAATAAATGTCTAAATGATGTTGGACATTGCCGTTTTAAGGAGGTTCTCGCCAAGTTTTTAGACCTTTTAGAGGGATTTGGAGTAAAGGTTAACTTCCTGCTTCACCCTGCTCACGCCAAACACACACACAGAACACCGACAACAGACATGAACGACATGCTCACCACGCTCACAGCTTTGCACACACAGAAAATATAAAATGACTTTTACAATGTGAAGTATTTAGACTTTAACCTTGTGTTGGGGTTTTAACTGTGAGACTTACTCCCCCTTGTGACAGGATCGTGCTGGTGAATGTTTTCAGCAGAGACCAGAGTCATGAGCAGAACTTTATATGAATGTTATTCAATGATACATCAGCTCAGATAAAACAAAATATATCAAAATATAAAAAAAGTCCTCATGAAAAAATCCTGATTTTCCTAAAACATCATCATGAAACTGAACTTTGTTGCACATTTCTGCAAGGCTAGTTTGTCTATAATAAAACTAAAGGAGTGGTTCCAGACCGCAAAACTTCACAAAATTCAATTAAATAAATGCAGATTTATAAATTGAGATAAATGAACAAAACTGAATATATTTTTAATTGTTTTATTCCAGTCTGACAGTAAGTTTTTACGCAAAGGCTCACTGGTCATCAAACAGTAAACACAGCTGGAGCTAACATCACTTTAAATTTGTGGTCACCATCTTATCCACGTTTTTAACTTTGTAAATTAAAATTTGATTTAAAAAATCTGAAACAATAAGAAAAAAAACTAGAAATGTCGTGAAAAGTGTTTTTCTTTTTTTTTATTTTCAAAAGAAGAACAATTCCCTGAATGTGTGGAAGATGTTTATTTGTTTATTTAGTTTTTACAAATTTTGAACAAATACATAAAAAAGTTTTACAACTGGGGGTTTGGAGAGGCTGTATGACTCACTTATTATTAAAAAAATGACTGATTTAGCTTTCATTTGCATTTATTTTGCAAGAAAATTTAAATTTAATCTCTTATTTGCCTTTTGCTCAGGTATACTCTTAAAACATAAGTTCAGTTTTAATATTTTCATTTAACTAGCACCGGCACTCTCTCTAAATAAATCATTAGTTTTTTTTCTTTTCAAATCAACTATCTCTGTTCATCAGAGTCAGATATGTGACTCCTCGTGGCCACAACTCGCTCCTTTTATGTCTTTCTGTGAAATGTCTTTGAGCTCAATTTGGACATGACATCTGACGGAGAAAATGTCTCTTAGACGACACATTTCACCAGCCTCTGAGGTGTGACCCCTCAGTCGACTGGCTGTAATCTAAAACTGATGAGAGATTTTAATGAGTAAAAGGAGTAAAAGTGTTTAAATAACTGATTAAATGAAAAAGCGATTTGTTTTTTTTTCAGGGTTTTCTAAGAAGGAAACATGGGAATGAGCAAAAGAGAGAGAATGCAGAGAGGTGAATGAGTAAGAATGTGTCACACACACACACACACACACACACACACACAAAGCATGCAGAAACATAAATTAGCCAAGAGAAGTAGTAAACTACAGAAATAATTTAAAAGTGCTTCTACTAGTTTATCAATCACTCAGCGGCATGAGGCCGTTACATGTTGGATCTCCTTGCAGTATACATCCAGCAGAGCTCTGAGACCCTTATGGAGCAGTCAGCTGGTAGAACCCGGGTCAGAACTAGCCTGGTCTGCCAGACTCATCCTCTGTACAATGGTCTTCCCATTGCCTCCCATAAGTAAGCATGGGGCTGGCTGGTCAGGCTAGGTGACAACCAAACAGGGTGAAGCTGCTTTTAGCTACTATGTTGCACATAGATGGAATCAGGTTCCCCATTACCTCAAATGTGCCCCAACTTCAGTAACTTTTAAATTAAAATCGAATACTTTCATATATTTATCAGCTCGTGAATGACTGATTCTGTTATGGTCGGCCTTTGTATCGGAAGGTGCAACAAATAGTCATAATTCCTTTCCAAGCTTTATGCAAACTTGAGTCCCATGTCTAGCAGACATCCATCTTAACTTTTTCATTGCTCTCAAGCACTTCTTCTCATCTACTGCCCCCTAGTGGTAGACACAACAGATTCTTATGCTGCACCTTCTGCACTGTACTTGCTCAGCCTTTCATTTTGTCTATTTTTTTATTCTTAAACCTGAAATTAATTTGTGTATTTAATCTGGTCTAAATTAATTTGCATATTTTATTTGTATTGTTATGTTTTTTTAATGTTGGGCTATTCTCGCTAATGGACATTGAGTTGCCTCTTTGTATAAAATGTGCTCTACAAATAAAGCTGCCACGCTTTTCCGTTAGCATTCTTTCAGAGAACTTCTGTCATGTCACACAGAACATGTGACTGTTCATATATTTAATAGCTCAGTGCTAAAATAAAAAGAAATTGAAGAAAATTGAAATTTGCTTCAAGGTCACATGAGGCCGAGACCAACATGGCAGCTGTCCAAATATCATGAAACACACAAACGTTTGTGAGTCTGTGACTCACATGATCTGCCTCATGGTGGTTCTCTCCTTCACACTTCCTGTCCTCAAATTCTCTGTTTCCTGTTTAAATGAATATCTCCACATGGCAACGAGTGAAGCAGAAATCAACCTTTCCTTACTTTAGTACAGATGAAGTGGTCAAACCTGTGTTAAAGTGTGTTAAACACTTAAGTCATGTTTTCTTTTTTATATCGGTTTTGACTCTCGCTGTGAGGTTGCCAAAGCACACTCGGACAAACAAGGACGGCGGTCATGAGGTCTGAGTCATGCTGTTGAATTCATCCTTCCTGTGAGCTGCTATTTATTGCTTTCTTCAGCATAAAAGACACAAAAAATATTCTCAGTGTGCTGCTGAGGGTGTGTGGGAAGAGATGCGATGGAGATGGATCAGTTGGGAAGGTCGTTGTTTGTGTGGAAGCTCAGCAGGGCGTTGCGGAGTCTCTGGAGTTTCCCCCTGTGGGAGGATCGTTTCTGATTTACGCTCCGAGGCTCCGTTTAAAAACCTTCTGGACGCTGCTCACAACCCATTTAACATGTCCTAAATGAATCATGCTGGAGGGAGTTTTTCCTTTTATTGATGCTGACTCCATCTCTGAGATTTTAAGTTGGTCACCAAACACTTCAAAACTCCATCAGTTATGATGAAACTAACAGTATTATCACTGAAAAAAAGGCCACCATTCATTTTGCTGCACTTCAAAGGTAACTCTCATAAGAGGCTCAATAACAGTTCAACATCCTCAAAGACTGATTTGTGCAGAGAACTATCTATATTGTGTCTGCTGAATGAGGTCGTCTTTAGTTTCCTCTGAGCTTGATATCAGCTAACCTTTGTTTGTTTGCTTTTTCATGCTTCTTCTGCTGAGCCTGCAGGCATAGCTGAAGCCTGAATGGCATTTGGTTTGCTTTTAAACATATCACATTTTCCTATTTTGTCACTGACTGTGTTGAAATGTGACGTGTTTATGAGTTTGGTCTGGTTTCTAATATCTACTGCTGTTATAACCGAGTGTGGATCAGGAAAAGCTGTTTATTTTAGGACGCTGCTGACCACAAACATAACAACTATGCAGCATCTGGTACACAAGGCCTTTTATGGGCAAACCACAAGAATTTCATTGCATGCTTAGAACCCATTATTCCCCAGAGCTTTTAGAGTTTACATTTTTAATTCAACTTCAAAGTGATAGAAGAATTTTTAACAGACAAAACAAAGAAGCGCTTTGTTTTATTTGCTTCAGCAATTATTATTGTCTTTAGTTTAGTTTGATCCGATCATTTTACAACAAAAGATGTTTGACTGGTCTCCATGGTGATAGACAATACATTTAGGTTAAAAACAGGAACATGAGAGTGAAAAAGACCAGGAAACAAAGAGTGAATGACGCTGAAGTGGGCGGGCTCTGAGAGACCAGCTGTTCCTGGAGACAGCCCTATAAGTTCCCCACCTCCCCCTCCCAGCATTACTTTCTAAGTCACTCAGCACTGAGTCCCCACATCTCACTTTTTAGTTTAATTTCAGCGGACCAAACTTCTCCAGAATGAGCTTCAGAACCCCCAGCATGCAGCAGGCGCCTTCTGCCAGGATCTCCTTCAGCCGCTCCACACCTCAGTACCGTGCTGCCAGCATTTATGGTGGTGCTGGTGGTCATGGAGCTCGCATTTCCTCTGCTTCTGCATCTGGACTGCGTTCTGGTCCTCCGATCTCATCCGCTAACACCTTCAAGCTGATGGGTGGTGGCATGAGCGGTGGCATGAGCAGTGGCTTTGGTGGTGCGAGCACATCTGGGGGAACTGGGTCTAGTGCTGAGATCCTGGGCAACCAGAAGGGAGCCATGCAGAACCTAAACGATCGCCTGGCTAGTTATCTGGATACGGTGAGGAACCTGGAGCAGGCCAACAAGGAACTGGAGATTAACATCAGGGAGGCCTTGGAGAAAGGAGGACCTGACACCAGAGACTATAGCAAGTATGAGGCCATCGTGGAGGACTTACGTAAACAGGTAAATATTACTAATGGAAAAGGTGGAAATTGACATGTGTAAAGTAAAAGGGGATAGCTGTTTATTGATGCCTCTTCATGACTCAACAAATGAAAGATCAGAGGATTACTGTGTTATCTGAGGATTCGTCACACTCACCACTCTCACCCATCAGCGTATTTGTAGCTACACAAGAATGAGATTTTCTCTTTTTTCTTTCTAAGCGATCACATTTCCAGCTAGAGAATAAAGGGTGTGGTTGCCAAGCTCCGGTTCTGCCTACACACAACTTCTCAGAACTTCCTCTGATGAACGACCAGCATGCGTTTTTTATCACGAGTCTGAATGAAAAACTCTCAAAGAGATTTTCCAAGCGGTTCTGCTCATTAGATCAGGGAATCTGCAGGCATGCTCTGGTGCAGATGGAGAGCCTTGATAGGAAACATATGTGTAGAAAAGACACACACACACACACACACACACACACACACACACACACACACACACACACAGCAGTGGCTGTGATACAATCAGCTCCAGTCCAAAGAGTCAAATGTCACATTCTTCTCCAGAGCCCAGAACTTCAGCATCACAAGCTGACACACTGATGGAGGCACTTTGTGCTTCTGCACACATAAAGGGGGTGAGTATTTACGCTTTTACTGCAGCGGGAGACATGACCACAAAAGCTCTGAAACAGCCATAAAGAATTCCTCCATCTGGACACACACTGACTCCTTCAGTGACTGACAGCAGCAGGAGTGCGAGTTTTCTGTTTCAGTGCAGGGAACCCACTTCTACGCAAAAACAGACCAGAATCTGTTTTGGCACAGGAACATCCCTTCTTCCTGTTCTTCAATTAACAGTTCCTCTTTTATGACCAAGTGTTGCCATGGATTCAGTCATGCTTCCCTGTTGTGCAACTGAATTTAGGGGCTTTTTTATTCCCAATTATTTCAAGATTATTTTATCTGCACCAATTAAGTAATTATAACCCTGCATTAATAACAACTGTGGTTTTCTTGTCCAGATCTTTGATAAGATAGTGGAGAAGGCCGGCTTTGAGCTCCAGATTGACAACGCCCGTCTTGCTGCTGATGACTTCAAATTAAAGTATGTTTAAGTATGATTCTGTTTTGTTGAGGTCATTATCGGAAGCATCCATTGTGCTGCTTTGTGACTTATAATAGTGATGTGGGCATGAGCAGATGGCGTCTGTAGCGGAGCTGATGTCTGTGCATTCCTGCAGGTTTGAGAATGAGCTGGCTATCCGCCAGTCTGTGGAGGCCGACACCGCCGGGCTGAAGAGAGTCATTGAAGAAACCAACGTGACCCGAATAAACATTGAGAACGAGATGGAAGCTGTGAAAGAAGAGCTGCTGTTCCTGAAGCGGAACCACGAGAATGTGAGTATCTACTTTTTTGGTGATACGATGATGCTAAAAAGTTGCAACATTTTCATAACTTTCTCAATATATTTAAGATTTAATTCAAGAACTGATAAATAATGATGACTGACAAGGCTTTGGGCTTTAATCCACAAGGGAAAGGACCTAACTAGTGATGCACCGATATGAAAGTTTTGGGCCGATACCGATAGCTGATATTAAGATCACTGTTTTGGCCAAAAAACGATATTTGCCGGTACCGATATACTGACATTAATGCTTCTAAAATCAGCTGATTTTGTATAGAATGAAATTTATTAAAGCTGAATTTACGTTATGCACACACACCACACACATTTACGCTTCTGAGATGATTACAATCACTGTCACATGACTAAACAAATACACATCACCCCCCCCACCCTCCGAAACAGATAAACAAATGGAGACAAGATGGAAAAAATATCGGTTGTTAATATCGACCCGGTATTATTTATTGGACCGATACTGATCTGTTAAAAGATGACTAACATCGGCCGATACTGACATTGATGCCGATATATTGTCTATCCCTAGAACTAACGTTAGTTATGGTTGTTCATCCTTCTGATGATGAACTTTGGACATGCAGGCATGAGTCTGAATCATGAAGTAAGAAGAAAATCTAGGTTTTTTTTAAACTGAACTACAATGGCTAATGTTAATATAACTAACTATAACTATTATTCAAGACCAAGCACACTGAGAAATCATTTTTTAATTGTTATATTTAAATTTGATCAGTCACTCAGAGTTCCACCCATTTTCTGCATTAGCCACCAGCAGAAAATAGATAGAAATACTCTCAGATTAGAAACGTTAGTGACATTACAAATTAGCATTCATGGACTCACCCATCTTGACTCTCGACAAGGAAGGCTGTTGTCGTTGCTTTAGCGTCCAGAAAACAACAGAGAACATCTCGGCTAATAGAAGCTAACTGTTAGCATTAGCAACTCCACAACATAACAGGACTCCTTCAGGCTTGTGTTATTTGAGGAGATAAAACATCAACGTGGCAAAGCATTCAGAGTCAGTGGTAGAGTCCCATTGGTGTTATCCAATCAGAGATGAGATGTCCAAATATCAGGAAATAAGAGTCCAAATCCTGTCCCACTGCTCTGGCTAACTTCTAGTTCATGAAGCAGGAGCGCCAGAGCTTTTTTCCTACAGAGATCAACTCACAAGATATTAATTTATACTAGAGACCACTGTAAATGCACTGGGAAAAAATAAGTGAACTTGGTCTTTAATAATGTGTTTTATTTTATATAGAAGTACAATAATAATAAAAACTGAGAATTTACATTGCCGTATATACATCCTCCACCAGAGGGCAATTGACTGGACGCCAGAAGTTGATTGTTTGGATTTTATTGACTATAATCACATGCTGATCACTTTTAAAATGCAAACAAGTTATATGCTTTCTAATACACCTGGTTTCTAGTGTGCATCTCAAAGACAAATTTCTGTCACCTACAGGAGAGAGAAATGAAGGCTATCTAATCTAGTCTAAACTACACACCAACAATAAATCTAAACATTATTTTCATTTGGACGTAGATTATTAGAAACACAAGAAAACTTCAAATTAAAAGCTTTTTTCAGCCTTGCAGACCATCACATTAACTATCAAGAATTTAAACTAATTTCCAGTTTGCATGGCATCTGTCCGACTTTATTTAAAATCCAAACTCTTTGGAAACAATTTTTTAAACCTTTTGCAGTCTCATCAAGATGAATAGATCTTTGTTTTTCATCTGTTACAGTTCAGCTCCACAAACATGCTGTGAAGGTCAGAGTTGAATCAATTCCTGTTGCTTAAACTTAAACAAACCCACCATTAACGAATCACGTCAAATACATTTAACTCTAATTTGTGTTTACACTCATGATGTTAGAAATCTTTATCTACATCGAGACAACGCGGGTCTTATGAACACCTGTGCAGATCCATTTTCTTTCCCTCTCCTCCAAGCAGGGTAAGACTGAAGCGACCTTCGAGTCAACATTCTGAAACTATCTTTGTTTTGCTCATCTCTAGTTTTTCCTCATTTTTGTATCAAAGAGCAAAATGATAAGAGTCTCTCAGGGACATGAACACATTTTAGCTGACTGAAGGTCAGAGTGATGCAACACACAAAGTGCTGTAAATGTCACAAAAAGCAATAAAAGAAATTAAAATAATAGTGATGATCAGCGTTAACTCTTAGCTTATTCTTGATTCTGTCCCAACCAAACAGGAAGTGATGGAGCTGAGGAGCCAGATCTCTCAGTCAGGCGTGCAGGTGGATGTGGATGCCCCCAAAGGTCAGGACCTGTCTCAGATCATGCAGGATGTGAGATCAACCTACGAGAAGATCGCTCTGAAGAATGCAGAGGACCTCAAACGCTGGCATGAAAATCAGGTAACGAAGAGATATCAAAAAGACAACGGCACACCGGTGTCCTAACGTGTTTGGTTAACGTGGTTTTTCCTGTCAGATTGCAGACGTGCAGGTGCAGGTATCTGAGAACACGGAAGCTCTCCAGGGAGCTCAGATGGAGAAGAGTGACCTCACCAGGCAGATACAGTCTTTGGAAATTGAACTTGCATCTCAACAAAGCTTAGTAAGCATTTAAAACCTTTAGTGTGTTTTTAATAATTCTAACAAACATTTTATTTATTCTCTTGTAATTGAAACTAGGTGTCTAGTTCATTTTACAGCACTGTTGGAAATATTCAAAATGATATATTTAGGCAGTTTAGTCACTTTTTTATGACATCTTGCTTCTTATTTCCTTTTTTTTCAACTTCTTTATCAGAAAGCCTCTTTAGAGGACACTCTCCACAACACAGAGCTTCGTAACAACATGGAGATGGAGAAGTACAACACTCTTATTTTACGCCTGGAGGAAGAACTCACCAACCTGCGTGCAAACATCCAGCAACAGACACAGGAGTATGAGGTGCTGCTCAACATGAAGATGAAACTGGAGGCCGAGATCAGCACTTATAAGACTCTGCTAGATGGAGGAGACTTTAAGTAAGAATTGTGAAGAAGGGGGTTTCCAATAAAATGGAATAAAAAATTGTTTGTCTTTTATTATTAGGGTTAAGTGCATCATGAAGGGAAACAGTAGAGTCCACTTCATCATCAGGAGAGCAAAAATGTGTCTTTTGTGTTTTGTACAGGCTGCAAGATGCACTGGATGAGCTGGAGTCTGCAAGTTAATTTGAAACAAAATAAAAGAAAGTCTACAGTTTCAAATGAAGAAAAGATGCCCACAACTATCAATCATGGATTAAAACAGTGGTCCAGTTAATTACACAATGCCAGTTTTGCTACTGGAAGAATAAAGAGTACTTAAATAACAACGTGTTATGAAACATTTGGCCCCTGAAACAAATAAAAACTGTTGCTGAAATACCTGTTTTCATGGTTTGCTGTATTTGAAAACTTAAGCTCTTGCAAGTGATCATTTAACCCTCCCACTGTCCTCATGGGTGACCCCACCAGGAAAGTTGACCATTGAGCAGGGTTGATGGTTTATTTCTTGAGGTCCACGTGGCAGGGGTGAGGTGGCTCACTTTCCTGGTGGGGTCACCTATGAGGACAGTGGGAGGGTTAAAACAATGGAATGTGTAAAAGACTTGATTGGCACATGATGCATGGACTTCGATGACAGAACAAAGTAAAAAGTTACAGAAGAAACATCAAATAAAGCAAATATCTTTGCAATTTTCAGCTAATCACAACTAGTTTTTGCAGGACAGGCTAGTTAGGTTCTCCATCTTTTAAAGAAGAAGCTAGAAAGTCCACTTAGTACAGAGGTCTAGTTGGCTGTCACTTTTATCTTGAGAGGCGCTATAGAAATGATATTTTCTTCTTCTTCTTCACTGTCCTGATGCAAATGGGTACCACCCATCCTTTGCATCAGCCATGCATTTATTTAAAAAAACACACACAGTCTGTCAAATTCCAAAATAACAGGGAAAAAAAGACAAATCAGCTTTATTATTGCTGTTTTTGCTGTTGCATGAGTATACGACTGATGGTGCCAAATAAATTAATGGAAAACCTTTTAGAAGATTTGTATTTGATGTGCATCTATTAGCGTTTGGCCAGCAGGAGGCAGCATATTTCTTAAATCAGCCAAGAGCCTTGCTGTCTTGACAGATTCTGATTTTAGACATGCGTGCATTTTTAGTCTGAACACAACTAAACCTTTCAGGTTCACTTTCAAATGATCTCAAGTATAAAAGATGCAAAATCTGTTTTTCTGATCCTTAGTAATTCACTATGTCTTGTATGTCTGTATGTCTTGTTGTGGCAGAATTTTCAGTTTTTCAGATTCAGTGTTGCCTTAAACCCCAAAACAATCGTAGTGAGGATGAGAGGATGTGCAGCATCTGGACTCCTCCTTCTATGATCCATGCTGAAATGCTCAAAAACCTCCCTGAATAACAGGTGTCAGACGCAGATGCTGCTTTAATGTGGATTACTGATCCCCTCTCACCATCAGGTGTTGACTTTGAACTCTGTGATGATGACTGACAAATCTTCAGCTTTCACCTAGTCCATCTGCTGGGTTTTGGTCCTGCTAATTTAGCAGTTATTTATAGATATTTCAGTTTTTAGTTAAATGGGGGGGGGGGGATGCCTTTCTTTGTCATTTTAATATTTTAAACATTTTCTGAGCAATTTTGTGATTTCCATCACAGACAAATGGGATGCAGCTCCATCAGAAAACTTTTTTATATATATTAAGATATTAGAAAACACAACAGCATAAATAATGCTGAACTTTTTTTTTATTTCACAATAAAACCCACAGCCCAAAATGAGTCTTACTGTTACCTCATTCATAACAGCTGGAATTAATATTGCATATATTCTCAGAAAATGATTTTATTCTGTTTAATTTGCAATGTAATTTATCATATATTGCTTGTTAAATGATGGTTATACTTCACTCTAATAGGTCGAGGACATTAATGTTGCTTTATTTCTTATATCAGGTAAGGTTTTGAGACTACATGGCCGAAGTTTTATTGGGAGGGCCAAAGAGGACATGTCTCCCTCACTTATAAGTTTTTGTCCCCTGCACGTTTTACCGTCCAATAAACAATATTACACCATATTAAATAGACACTAGTTGAGCTCTAGGTCCGAGCGGAAAACAGCCGCTTGTGTTGAAGCCCGTTTCCCATTAGACCTGTCCACAAGCACATCTATTGGCTCTGCTGATACTTGCTAACGAGTGATTGGCCGTTCCTGCCACCTGTGTACTTGAAAGTTCTGCATTTCTGCATAAAGGAGCCTCTAGGTTGCATACTTACTGTAAAGACCCCACCAGAACTTAGTTGTGTGCCCCCCCCCCCCCCCCCCCCCAACACACACACTTCTAAAGTCAAAACTACGTCCATGGACTGCAGTATGACTACAATCATACATTCATTTTTAGCATAAAATCCCCTAAGTGAACATTATGATAACGTTTTTACTTTTTGCTGTAAAACTGTTATTTCTGGGCTTGTGATTAAACACTTAGCAACACTTTGGTAAAACTCTCTGATCGTTTTTATGAAAGTGAAACACATCGTGGCTGGTGGCAGGAACACCAGGAAGCATCAGCAGATGTGGGTATTTTATTTATTTATTTATTGTAATAACTTTATTGAACATATTTAGATACAACGACTTCATTTCAAAACATGTGAGAAAATAACGTGTTATAAAGGAGCTCCAAAGTCCATGTTTTGGCAATCCTGGGTTTGTTAGTCACTTACCAATTCAGAAATGAAAAACAATGAAGTATGAACAGAAAATGAAAGAATAGGAGATATCAGTAAGATAACATGAAGGGCAAATAATATGTGTGTATAACTGGGAGTTTGTCAAGAGGATAGCTAGTAATAAAGCAAGGCATTCTGCCATTTTATTAAATTATCTACAAGAGGGTTATAAATTTGTTTGCAGATGTGGGTCAGGTCAGGAAGTAAACAAGGGTGGAGGCGCGCGCAGTCCCGTGAACGGCCGTTGCGCGCTCCCGATCATAAAACCTCTGACGCCTTCATCCGGGAACCTCAACGAACTCGTTCTCCAACATGGCGGCGTCAGGTGAGGTTTATGTAGAGTGATCGATCTGAGTCGATTATTGGGAATTTCTCTCTTTTATGGTTTCGGACAGCTTAGAATAATACATTTGAGGAATACCGGTTCGCCCCCTTTCGAGTCTGTGTCGTTGTCTCGCGCCTGCTCGTCATTTATTGATTGTTTTTGCCCGCTAAAACGGCGAAGCTGGTGGTGGCAGGCGGAATGAACGAAGCAACGAGCGTTTTTAAGCTAACCTAATCAAACTAACTTGCTCATGGAACTAACGTTATGTCGGTGTGTGGTGCGTCTGCTTCCCTGCTTATTTTGGTAAAAGGTGTACGAGGTGCTGGTCGACCTGCGGCTCAGTGTTCCCAACTGCGTGAATGGCTGTTGGCACATTGTAAGTCAGCGGTGGAGCTACGCCGTGGCGCTCAGGGCAAACAGGCATCGGGCGCAAGCGCGATTTGTGGAGGAGGGGTTGGGCCGAGAGGGATCCGGAGCCGCCTGAAGAGTCCCCACGTGTGCGGAGATGCTCTCCGGTGTCTGCGTTTGATTAAGCGGGGCAGCTGGGCCTGTGGGGTCGCATCCTAAACTCTTCGCTGTCAGCTTCCCAACTTTGAGCTGGCTTTTCCGGCCGGCTAAGTATTGCAGCGTTGATGGCGCACTTGGATCCTGACGCTGCGACGTGCGCTAGGCCCTAAACGTAGCCAGCTAAAGAGCAGAGACTTCCCCCGTCAGCAGTCCTCCGCTGACTAAGCCAGCAAAGACATTGAGACAAAAGCGATCATCAAGCCTGCTAACTGCGAGCCCTCAGGCTTCAAACGCAGCCTTAAAGAGTCCGGAGAAGTGCTCTTGCTTTTAATGTTTCGCAGATCTCGATGAATGTGGAAGAAATAACATAACGGAAAAGCATTCGTGTTTACTCTTTAGTGGAAATTTTAAAATATACTGAAAAGTATTTTCTCAGACTAACAAGATATCATTAAAATGGACATTATGACATTTTTAAAGCTGAGAAACCTCACAGGCATACAGGTTACTACACCTCTACAGGGTTCATTGACAGGCGTTGATCATGTGACCGACCAGGTTGACTCCTGTGATATTTTAAGGCAATAAACTCATTAGGAACAGAGGTGTCAACTATATTTTAGAAGTCTGTCTAGATGTATTATTTGGAAAAACCAAAATCAGCTAGAAATAGAAAACATGTCTGAAAACGTTTACGTTTCAGAAACTAGTCAACATAACCACAGTTTTCCCATATGAATACAGGTGCACTATTTGTGTGTTTTTTTAGATCTGACTCGTGCTCTTCTGACCTGCTACTGAACAATGGTTAACATAATGCTATTTATCTTTTCTGATTCAGTTTGAAAATTATGATCCTGGTCCACATGTCTGTTATTGCTAGCTTGAACTAGCACTTAGAAGTGGTGAGTTAACAAACCAGGAGTGTAGTATGTTTTTATTAATTTATTTAAACTTTTTTTTTTTGCTTTGCTAGGGAATTATGTTAATAGACACACACTTTCCACAAAAAATAAAATAAAAAGCGTATCTGAGTTAATAAGTAGGTAATTTCTAATTTAACCACCATGCTCGATATAGGGAGCCCAAGTCTGCCTTAGTCCCTGGATCACACATGTGTTGTACTGCAATTTAAATGAAAAGTAATGATGGGTGTTATGACTACGCAAGTCACATACTTTGAGATTTATTAGCTTGTAAAAGTTTGTAATTAGCATGACTATAAACGAGAAATCGGCACGTCGCATATGTGACGTCACATAATCTCCTCTCCCCAAAGTAGCCGCTACTTACCAAATGACCAGATTTATGGTTGCTCTTTCCTCCTGTGGGAAGTTTGCTGTATTAAAGCTCTTTTCCCTCAGTTTTCTCCATGTCTGGTTTGACGTCACTTTTAAGTCCTGGACTTTTTTCACACAAAACCTAAAACAGTGTTTCCCCCTGTTCAAAAATAAGCGTGTCATTGTTATCAAAATGTGTCTTTAAAATTCACGGACATCATATGTGAAATCCATGGCACAAAACAAGCGGAATTAGAAAATAGTCTTTTTAGCTTCATTGACTTGCATTCATTTTTCCGTTCTTCCGGGGACCCATGGTCCGGAAGTAGATGGGTGTGATTTAGGCTCCTTGTAGGATAACTCTGATCCAAAACAATTTTAAGTGCATTTTGATATTTTAGCTTTTACAGAAAGGGAAAATTAGTCCTAATCCAGCTCCGTAGACTCAGATTAGTGCAGATCAAAGAGCAGGCTGCATGGTGGGTTATTACAAGAGTACCAGCCATTAAAGTGGGCATATGCTTTTTTTATCATCACTTTTTTGCAAATATTTAGAGTGTGAAACTTACCTTTACTGTTACCATGTGTGATTATTAGGGCTGCACGATATTAGAAAAACCTGCAATATTCGATAATGATTAATATTGCGATGACGATATTACCTGCGATAAATAAAAACTTAATTCAGGAACAAAATTAATCAAAAACAAAGAAATACAAAATTTATAAAAAGGAGAAAAGCTAAAGATGTGAAGGAAGGGAAAAAGGGAATGAACAAGAAAAGGCAATCAGTGGCTCCCGGGAAAAGCAGAATCAACGAAAAGAACAGACCAAAGCTAACTCAGGTGTATGCTAACCATCAAAATGAAGTGCCGCCCGCCTCGGGGGTGGGCATCTGACCTATGAGAACCCACCCAATTGGCCAAATGGGTGAAGAGCTCTATTTGATTTGTTAAAAAACATAATGCTTTCATTTGATTGACAGAATGCATTATGTGTAGCAAACATTTGAGCTGAACATTCAATGCAATATTTATCTGTTCTTTGCGATATGCATATTGTGTATGCTGATATCACGATAACGATATATTTACGATATATTGTGCAGCCCTAGTGATTATGTAATTTCATGTATGAGTAGTTCCCTGACAGTTGGGATTAAAACAACAGACCTGTTTCCAGAGCAGAGTGAAGCCCCCTGGGCAGCTGTTGCTGGCTGCACACAATCTGGAATGTTTCGTTGTGGGAAAGAAACGTCACCGCCTTGTGAATGTAGACAAATGATTTCCTTCCAGTTGGTTATGATTATTAATTCTTTATTTTATTGCTTAATTAATTTCTTTATCTAGTCGTAAAGACATGAGCTCCTGCTGTCTTTAAACCAAGTGAGAGGTTTCAGAAATTTGGAATATATTATTATTTATTTAGGCTCTTTAAGAAGTTTGACTGTTTTAAAAAGGCCTCACAGCTTTCTTCTAACTGGCAGCCCAGTGACCGTTGGATATAAGTGTGTGCTTTTATCACTCATGCGCTTTAGCCTCTCTTAACTGCTGAAGCTGGACAGCATGTCACAGCTTGGCTACAATGACACTGGCGAGCACAGGCGGGTAAAGTTATGAACCCCTTACAGGGGTGTAACTGTGTTGTCCATATGTTTACAATAAAGACAGATTGAAACGTAAAATAGACGTTTAAATGTGTACCCGTAAGCCTTTCATTAGGGCTGCACAATATTAGGAAAACCTGCGACAACAGTGATCAATATTGCAATGACGATATGACTTGCAGTAAATAAAAACTTAACTCAGGAACAAAAAAAAATCAAAGACGTGAAAAAAAAAATTTCAAGTATAAAAATGGGTGAGGCAAAAGTTTTGATCAAGAGATGTGAGGAAAGGGAAAAAGAAACTGAACAAGAAAAGGCGATCAGTGGATCCCGGGAAAAGCAGAAAGAGCAGAATGAAGCTAACTCCCGGTGTTTG